GGAGGGATGGGTGGGAGGAGGGAGGCACAAGGGAGGAGGAGCATGGTGAGTATGGTGAGTTAGTGCACGCACGTGCCGCTACATCGGTGGGGGAGGGGCGGGGGAGGGCGGGGGCGCGCCTGATGAAAGTCGACGGAGTCCGCCGACGCGGGGCGGCGGCGGGGCGGCGGCGGGCGGGGGCGCTCTCCCTCCTCGCCCTCGCACTCACCCTGCCGACCGCTCCAGCCGCCGCGACCGAGGGCGCCGTCCCCGACCCCTTACCCCAAGCCACATCCTCGACTCCTCCGATCCTCCCCACGCCCACGGGTGGGGTACAGGGGGCGCACTCAAACTCAGGGCGACAAGCGAATTCACCCGAATCACCCACGGGTGGGGGTTCCGAGTCAGAAGCCACGGGAAGTGTAGCAAACCTGATATACTCGTCCAAGGGGACGTGCGCTGGCTCAACAACAGCGGGCCGAGGGGCAGCCTGGGCTCTCGCAGTATGAGCTTGGATCTCAACGACCACGAGCGAAGAAGGGGGCCCTCGACACGACGGGTAAAGGGCCTTCGCCAGGCGGCTCAAATTCTCTCTCCCCTTGCGGGTTGGGGGGAGCGCACGGGTTGGCCAGGTTGCGGCCGTCAGCAGCAGCCGCGAAACCGCACACAGCACAGAACTTGAGACCGTATCGGGACCACTCCCGGAGAGCATGAGAGGGATGCAGGGCCACGCCTCCAACCTCGGACGCCCCGCTCACCGCCAGGAATCCGTCACCGAGGAAGCGCTCACTGTGGGCCGAGGCGGAGGAAGGAGGAACAGGCCCAGCAACCGAAGGGCAACACGTGGCCGCGAACTCCAGGAGCTTCGTCCGTGGCACAATCTGCAAACAGCCAGAGCACATCCAACGATTGCTGCACTGCGACAGGCGGTGCGACGAGGAGTCCAAGGCCCTGGCCAGCTTGGACTTGACCTGGGTCCTGGGCCTGGGCGCCCTGGGGCCGAATTCGGGAGCCACCGCAACACTATCAATCAGAGCGCGGCAGTGACGCCCCGTCGATCCGTAAACGGAATCGGGTCTCTGACAGACGTGTCCCACCCCCTCCTCGCCGCCCGCCCCGCCCAGACATCAGCGCACGCATTGCCGTGAGAGAGGAAGGCTTGAAACGGGGAGGTGATACGCTTCAAGGTGGGAAACGGCCCAGACAACATCGACGGACCCAGGGCCGCGATTTTTGGCAGCCTGCTGCACCCTAACCCAAAGGCCCGCATTGCGGCCAAAGGGGCGTGCAGCGCGGGCCGACCTCCAGCCATCAACCACAGGCTTACACTCGCAAGCGTAAACGATATCTCCAGAAGAATTCTCGAGACCCAAGGCCAGCGCAAGCAGCTCTGATCGGGGCACAGTCTGACGTCGTCCAGGGAGACAGGCAGCCACACCGCAGACGGGGAGCCACATAGCGCCAGAGGGTCCCCGTCCAAGGCACGACGCATGACCACCACAGCTGCCCCGCAGCGTCTCCGACGTTCGTCTGAGCTGTGCTCACCCCCTGAACCATCCCCAAACAGGTAAGGGGGGGCCCCTCAGGGGCCGAGAGCTCCTTCAGCAAGCGCTGACCGAGGAAAATGGGGTCCGAAAAGCCAGGGCCCTCCTGGAAACGAGGCACAGTGAGACTGGTCGAGGGCACGCCCCTCAGCCACAAGGATGGGTCAGAATATGCATTTGCCAACGCCTGAGGGATGAGCGCATCAGTGGATGTGTAATCAGAATGAGAGCATTTTTTGAACGCTCCCATATGCGGTGGCGCAGCGTCTCTGGGGCAGCTCTGCATCGAGGACACAGGCGATCGACCTGGTACCCTGCCTCGTGCTGCCTCTGCTGCGCCCACTGGCCTCCTGCTATGACCGAGACCGTCGCACCCCACATGTCCATGGCGCCGCTCTTGGCGAAGGCATCCAATTCACGTTGTATCCCATGCAGATCTGCTCCGTCAGCGAGCTGTTCACCATCAGGATGCTTGGCAGCCAATCGCCAGGCAGCAGCACGGCAGTCATGCTCAAAGTCCGCCAAGAGCTCGCTGAAATCCTCCAAGACGGTGTCACTGTAGCCAGCCTCGCCGAAAGAGAGGAACGTGTAGTCCTCTGGCCCCTCAGCGCCTGCACGACGCCAACGGGTGGCTTCCAAGGGCTCCCAGCCAACCTGCATCAAGGTAGCTTGGGGGGCAGCAGTGGGCCCTCGGACTCCCCGCCAGCTGACGCGATCACCCAGTCAAGCACGAACACGAGGCCAGACACGAGCAATGCGCACATGCAAGTACGGGTGCACAATCCACATCCGAAACCATTTAGTAAGAACGTCACGCCGAAGCTGCAAGGAGGGGTCGCTTGAGCCAAGGGTAGCCTGCAAGACAGTCTGCAAGCAGCGGCCCCTCTTGTGGCCAGCGATCGAGACCGATGCTTGCCTGCGCAACTTAGTCATCAATGAGGGCGGCACTCCATGAGCTTGATGGCCATAAGTAGCAGAAGGTAGCACACCTGCCCTCCAGAGGCCACGCGCCACCTTGTGGCTTCCAGCAAGCCGCCGCAGCTTCTGGATCTTGCCCTGGCGCGCAGAAGCCCTAGCCACCCGAGAACGAAACTTAGGTCGAGCCCGACGTCGAGCACCAGTTGCGTCAACTCCCAGGTCGACAGCCGACGGGGTGTGGGTGACGGGAATGCCCATGCTCTTCAGGGAGGTAACCAGCGCTGGCAACCAACTTAGTCTTGTCGGAGATCGTCACACGTTTGTCCTTGAACGACTGAGCCAGGGACTGAGCGGCCGACTTCATATCTCCAATCACCGTGGCTCGAGCACGGCGCTGAGCGCATCCTGCTCCACAGCTTGGCCGTGTGGGGCATCAGACCAAGAACTCCCTGGCCACCCGCCTCCTTTGGAATGGAAGCGCCGAGCACCGTCATGAGCTCTTCAGGCCACACCCCTGAAAGTTCAATCTCATTCAAGAGGTTCACCAGCGCACGGCGCCCAACATCTGGAAGTCGCAGCAGCACAAGGGAGGAGGAAGAAGGAAGAGGAAGAAGGAGGAGGACGAGGAAGCGGAAGAGGAGGAGGAGGAGCAGGAGGAGCAGAAGCAGGAGGAGGAGAATCGAGAAAGATCGAGGATCGAGGAGGACATCCAGGACCCCGGAGGCCTCGGCCCTCTCCTTTTCCACGTCGGGCGGACACTCAGGCAGGACTTGCTGCGCTCCTCGAGGGAACCAATGCGATTGCGCCGACTTCGGCACGTGCTCTTGCGAAAAAGCGTGAAGGCTGCTGCCAGTGCGGAGGCAGGAGGTGACGAAAGACATGGCAGAAGACTCGGTGCCCATGTGGCGCCCCCCCTCCCCTCCCCTCCCTTCCTCGGGCTGCTGCTGGCTTTCACTTCGTCGCCAAACCCACCCCCCCGAGGTCAGGTCTCCTCACGACGTGGACAGCCCAGAGGTCTGGACCTTTTCCCAGGGGCCAGCTCCTGCATAGTACTGGTGACGTCCTCACGGCCCATTTGGGGCTCCCAGGGGCCGACAAATATATACATATAAACATATATGCACACTTATATTATATATATATATATTATATCTATATATATAATATATATATATATATACACACATATTCGTGCATGTACACATATTCGCCGGCCCAACGGGCCAGAGGCGTGCTACAATCTCCGGTAGCTGGTTAAAAATATTTTACTTCGCGCAAGCGGGGTTGCCCCTGGGGGTCTCCGGGCGAAAAGAAAAAACGCAAGGCCCCGGCAAGGTCCCGGCAGGTCCGGGTCAGAGATGGCGGACCGGGCAATTTTTCGATACCGCTCACGACGATCGTGGCCTCCGGGGGGGGGAGCCGCAATCGACTACCCCCCCTCCCGCCCCAAGAGGCCCACAAGAGCGCACAAGAGGCCCTGGGGGCCCCCAAGACGCCGCCAAGGAGCCCCAAGAGACTCCCAAGAGGTCCCCAAGAGGCCCCCAAGAGGCCCTAAAGAGGGCTCCAGGGCCGGCGGAATGAGCGAAGCGATTAAATAAACAAAGAACTCCCGGCGCATTTCCTTCACGACGCGAGGGGGTCTGGGAAAGGGGATGCGGGCGGCTCCTTGATGACGCCCGGGACCCTGTCGAAGGTCGCCTGCGGGCCCCAGAATCAGCCCAGCGCGAAGGTGGCGACCTGCGGTGGCGCCAAACCCACCGCCCTCGTGAAAGAGCCACGGCGCCCGGGTCGGTCTTACCAGTCCTCCTCGTCCTCCTCCTCCTCATCCTTCGACAGCTCCTCCTTTCTCCGCCTCCTCCTCCTGGTTCCTCCTCCTCCTCCTCCTCCTCCTCCTCCTCCTCCTCCTCTCCGTCAATATCATCCTCTCCTCCTCCTTCCCTCCCGCCCTCCCCCTGGACCTTCCACCCTCACCCCTCATCCCCTCCTCCTCACCTTCTTGCTGATCTCTCCCCCTCATCCCCCTCTTCGTCGTCGTCGTCCTCCTCCTCCTCCTCCTCTTCCCACAAAGTGCGACGGCGGGGCCACGAAAGGCATGCACATGGGGCCACGACGGGCGCGAACGAGCGGGGGCCACGAAGGGCATACATATATGGGACCACGAAGGGCAGCGATGGGGCCACTGCAACGGGGCTACAGAAGGGCCACGAAGGGCTGCAACGGGGCCACGAAGGGCAGCGAGGGGGCCGCGAGGGGCTGCAACGGGGCCACGAAGGGCAGCGAGAGGGCCACGAAGGGCTGCAAGGGGGCCACGAAGGCCAGCGAGGGGGTGACGAAGGGCTGCAACGGGGCCACGAAGGGCAGCGAGGGGGCCACGAAGGGCCACGAAAGGCAGCGAGGGGGCCACCAACGGCTGCAACGGGTCCACGATACAAAGCGAGGGGGCCACGAAAGGCTGCAACGGGGCCACGAAGGGCAGCGAGGGGGCCACGAGGGGCCGCAACGGGGCCACGAAGGGCAGCCAGGGGGCCACGAAGGGCTGCAACGGGTCCACGAAGGGCGGCTAAGTAATCTGTGAGGGAGTCCTAAGCGTGACCGCGACTCCTTGGTGCCTGAGTGTCGGGAGCGCGGCGCTCGAGTAAATGGAAGGAAATTCCAACGCAAGGGCGCTATTCTTCAGTACATCGCAAGTGGGTCTCCAGCGAGATCGCGACTCTAGAGCGCCGGGAGGGCGATTCCTGCATAACTTGTGAGGAAAAACCTAGCAAGAGCGCGATTCCTGAATCACATGCGAGAAAGTCTCGGGCGGGAGCGGAGGTCCTGGCTAAATTGTGAAGAGGTCTCAGGCGGGAGCCGTTGTTGTTGTTGTTGTTGTTGTTGTTGTTGTTGTTGAACTCTCATTCTTGAAGATAATTATTGTTGATCCCCCCCCACCGGTGCACATTGATTTTTTTCGATTGAAGTGCCACCCCCGGGGCTCGCACCTTGTTTTTTTCCCAAGGAAAATCTTCCTGCTCAAACTGTGCCCCTGCCCCCCGGGCTACAACAACAACGGTTCCCGCCTGAGACCTCCTCGATTTTTACTCAGGACCCCCGCTCCCGCCTGAGACTTCCGCGCAATTTACTCAGGAAAGGCGCATCCCGTCTGAGACTTCCTCGCAATGTAATCCAGACCCCCGCTCCCGCCTGAGACTTCCGTGCAATTTACGTGGGAACGGCGCTCCCGCCTGAGACTTCTTCGAATTTTACTCAGGACCCCCGCTCCTGCCTGACATTTCCGCGCAATTGACTCAGGAACGGCGCTCCCGCCTGAGACTTCCTCGCAATTTAGTGAGGACCCCCGCTCCCGCCTGAGACTTCCGTGCAATTTGCTCAGGAACGGCGCTCCCGCTTGAGACTTCCTCGCACCTTAGTCAGGGCCCCCGCTTCCGCCTGAGATTTCCTCACAATGTACTCAAGACTGCGCTCTCGCGTGCGACGTCCTCACAAATTATGCTGGAATTGCGTTTCGGCGCTCAGGAACCACGCACGCGCCAAGGACGCCTTCACAACGTGGTATCTTCCCTCTTCCTTCGTCCTTCCCCCTCCCCTTCCTCCCACTCTCCCTCGTTCTTTCCCTCCTCCTCTTGCAGGGCCCGCGCCAATTCCAATGGCGGGCAGAGAGATGTACGCCCCCGAAGGATTGTCCGCCCGTTCCGGTTTGCCCGTACGTCTAAGCCCGCCGGCCCCAGCAAAGAGAAATAATCCCCCCGAAAGGGGTGTGATCGAAGACGAAGAGGGCGGGCATCGAGGGTGTAGGGTATACGTGTTGAATGACTCGCGGGCAAGTAAGAGCGTACAGCCTTAAAATGGTTGTTGTTGTCGTTGTAACACGGGGGCCAACAATGCAGTTTGAGGAGGAAGACTTTCCCTGATAAAAAACAGGGTGCGAGCGCCGGTAGGGGCACTTCAATTGAGCAGAATACACTGTGCACCGGAGGGGGGGGATTAAAAATGTCTATTCTGCAGTAGTGCGAGTTCAACACCAATAACACGAACACCACGAACAACAACAAAAACAACACCAACATCAACAACAAAAGAACAACACCAACAACAACACCAACAACAACACCAACAACACCAACAACAACAACGACAAAAGACAACGCTGCGCTCCAATCATTCCGTGGCATGTCTCGAGCCAGCCCGACGCGGCGGCGCCTGGGCCCCCAGTGGCCCGAGACTGGGGCACGGGGGGGCGCCCGTCGCAGCTTGTGGCCCGCAGCGCCCGAGGCCCACAGCGTGCCCACTGGCCGCCCACCACGATCGCTCCCCAAAGCATACTGTGCCTCGGGTGCGCCGAGGGGGGGCCGAGAAGAGGATGGTCAGCGCATATCAGGGCCCGAGGCGCCTGCGCGAACGAGAGGGGGCCCAGGGAACGCAATGCGTGAACACTGCCCGCTTCTCAACTGGTGGGACGGGGACCGCTCTATGCTGCAACCAGCCAGGGAGGGAGCGGGGGAGAAGGACAACGACGACGACGAGGAGGGGAAGGTTGTACATGCCCGGCGGTTGGCGGCGAGACATCAGTTACAAAACGCTCGGACTAGCCAAGATGCTCACACAGAGGGAGCAGGCGGAGGAGGAGGAATAGGAGGATGAACGCAGTGGGGCCCGAGAATGACAATGCGAAAGGGCGCCAGGGGACGCACTG